GCAATAAATGATATTTAAAAGAAATGTTACACAATCATTTCTATTTAATTCAGATTCTCTAACGTATTTGACATTTAATGCTGTATTTAGACTTTTTTAAGTCATCAGATTCGTGTCTTCAACTTCTTCTGATCTTTGATCTTTAAACGACTCGAATAGGTATGAAACTCGTACCTATTTTAGTAACGGTCCACACCTATGTTGCTTTCTTTTCCCCCTATCTGTTGTCGCCCGTACCTCTTGGCTATTTATTGCGTTTTGACCTTTTGACCAGTCCACGTGTCATGACACGTCATCTTCAATATTCAGACTCAATTTTTCCCCAATACAGTATTGTTGTTATATATAAAAGACGTAATTTAAAACCAGAAATTAATTTTTTTTCCCACCGAAATGGAGGGAGCAATATAATACGGTACTCGACAAAACCGAAAAAGACAAAAAGATGTACAAGGGGTATGACGACAAGTTGGGTTTATCGCAAGTGAGGATAAGAGTTAAGAAGTTAAGTCCACCAGAAAACAATGGTAGCATTTGACAGGTTTGAAGCTAACGTGGGGAGTTTTTGCTTCCTCACTACTGCATGTCGACTTGGCGTTTTGCATCCTTTTTGCATGTCTGCCCGAATGGCTACTACTTGCGTGCATGGCAGCCACGTCTCTTCCTCAAAGTTATTGCTCTCCCCACCCTTTTCCTTTGTTAAATCAATCCATATCTTATGTTCTTAAAAATTTGAGCCTGTGTATGGACTGTTAACTCGATCAACCGAAGATGTTTTGAAAATTGAACTGGATGAAAACACTGGAAGGTCCACACAAAATAACGAGTAAAAGTACCCTCTAAAGTACTTATATGTTTAATTTAATTAATGTGTCTTATTTTTTAAAAGTTTATTTTAAAAGAATATTTTTTTTATATATTTAATAGCTCTTTAACTCTAAATTCTTCGTGACATATTTAAGATTAACAAAATTCAAGAATAATTTGGTATATTAAACATATTTTTAGTTTAAGACACTTGAACAAAGATAAAAGCAGTATTAGTGCAGAATGGATTTCTTCCCATATTACTAAATATAATTAAAAAAAAATCTTTACTTTTTTTAAATTCGTGCATAACGTAAAATAAAGATACATCAATTAAAACAGAAAAAATATTATTTATTGATAAAACATCTATTTTCGAATTTAATAAACAAGACATCTTATTTTAACGCTCAATTTGGAAGGCATCTTAATTAAACCACTGGATCGATCGAGCACATATTTGGTACAGTGATCCCACTTAAAAGTTGCCGATGAGCAAGTCGACGTAAATTGGATTTAGTTTCTTTGACAACGTCTTTACTTAACCAAGTACGTGAATAACTTTTTTATTAATTTTTTGTCACAAAATTAATTACTTAAAAAGGAGTGATAAGATAAAAAAACAATAATTTTATTATGTCTTCAAACAATACTTTTAATATTGTAACCATATACTCCCTTAAACCTAAATCTTACGAAAATATGCACCAAAGGTTTCTTTTAAATGTAAAAATATGAGAGGTGTCCATATGCATAACTTTATTTCTTTTAGTATTCCCTTTCAGTAATCCGAATCTTTTCAGAGTGTCACAGTTAAACTAATTAATTTTTTATACAAATTCAAACAGAATTTTTTTTAAAAAAAATTAAAAATTATATAAAAATACTATAAGTCAGTTAATAACTTAAAACATTAAAAAATATTTTTATAAAATTAATAAAAAATAGTTTTATTTGAATCTCTAAACAATAATACGGTAAAAATGCTTTATTAATACTATTGCATTATTCGTCGAGTCATTTAATTACTGGACCCTGGTATATATTGAGTGGTTTTGTGTTTTTCCATTCAAGCCAACCAAACATTTTACGCCAGAACTCGGGACAAAATTGTGTCAAAAGAGAAAGCAGGATATATAAAAGCTACCAAAAAGAAAGATATATAAAAAGCTACCAAAGAGAAAGAAAAGACCAACCGAGAGAGAGAGAGACAGACAGACTGTAAAATGGACGCAACAGCGGCGGAGACAAGCGCAGCTCCGGCAAGTGTGACGGTGGATCAGCCACCGCACATGGCAGCAGCAGCGGGGGAGACGAAGAGGAAGATGATAATGGTTGCTATGGACGAGAGCGAAGAGAGTTTCTATGCTCTCAAGTGGGCATTGGATCACTTGCTCAACAATTCTGAAGAAGAAACCACTATTATCACTTTGATCAATGTCCAACCTCCTTTTAGCCCCATGGTTTATCCTGCTGGACCAGGTATTCTCTATCTAATTTGTCTCGTAATTCTATATTTATACATGTCCCAAAATGGTGGCTTATTTAGACAGTAAAACACCACACTTCTCTAACAATAATTAGTACGTACTTGTAAAAGGATACTTACTGCTAAAGAGAAAATATTCCTCTTTCCTTAAATGAAAAAATACATATGAAAGTGGGACGGAGACGGTACTTGCACTCGCACGTTATTCATATGCTCTAAGAGGGCGCTTGGGTAAAAGCAGGTAAGATTATCTTTTAAATTTTTTTAATTTTTAATAAGCACCAAAGCTGCTTTTCAGCTAATTAAAATGTGGCACTCCAACCTCTCCTTTTATTTGACCATGCATGAGACATGCCATAGAGTTGATATAAGTGTCTATGATGTGATGAAAGTTGAGTTTTGGGGATCGAGGTCCGGACGTATTTTGAAAATTCCGTGTAACACAATAGTTCTGGGATCTGCTAAAGAAAGACATAAAAAGGGTATATATCCGTGAATCCTAGTCAACCCAAGCATTCTCTGCCTCTATCAATAACTAGAGCCAAAGAGTCCTAATGTAAGGAGGGGGAGCCACTTTGCGATGGTCTTATTGTCACTTTTTATATATTCTGCTTGTTGCAAGGTTTGTTTAGATGAGGATGGGCTTTTGGCCATTGCAAAAACATCGAATTGTAGGAGTGTAATAAAGAACTTGTGATCTCAGCATGAAGGATTTTGGAAAAACAAATGGTTGTGATAAGAGAAGTATCACGGCAGTGCAGTAGTGTAATCGCGACTGCATGAAGCCTTACGTACGACTTCAGTACAAGGGGGCTAGGCCAGGTTCAATTTTTCCGCTACCTAACACTAGTGCGTGAGTCCCAACTCAGCGATATGTCCATTTGTGTTGCCTAGATCACATCAAAGTTTTGTGCATGGGCGGATTGTAAAGATCAGGAAGATGTGGATTCATTCAAATTAGTAACTTTAATATAATTGGCTCCTTGTATATATATGTGGTAAAATTGATTTCGAGACTAATAAGTTAAATGAGTTGTGGTAGAATCATCGATGTGAACCCATAAAGTTATCAAGTCTTTTGCTCTAGCTGAATGTTACCCGTGAAATTCACACCAGTCTCTAATTTCTCTGCGTAGATTTTTGTTCGAATCGATTCAGGATCAGAAATATATTCAACAGATGAACGAAGAAGAGATAAGAATGTTCTGGAGAAAAATGTGGAAATGAACGACTAAGGCTCCAAAGTAGAGCCAATTCTCATTATATACAAAGTCACAAGAGTGCTGGGTTAAAACCCGTACATAAATGGGTACCCAATTACAATAATTAATCACATGTATAATACAAAAATGAAACTAGCTAAAGTAAGCCCAAATACAGGAAAGAATATATCTCAACATCCCCCCTCAAGTTGGAGGGTGGTTAGCCACACCGAACTTGCTTAAAATGAACTGATAAGTCACACCAGATAAGGGCTTTGTTAGCATATCAGCCAGTTGCAGCTTGCTGGGAACAAACGAAAGAGAAATCAAGCCATCATGAAGCTTCTCACGAACAAAATGGCAATCCAGGTCAATATGTTTAGTCCGTTCGTGAAAAACAGGATTTTTTGCTATATAGATGGCAGATTGGCTGTCGCAATGAAGAGGCACAGGTACCACAGAAACAAAAGACAACTCATGGAAGTAAATGAGTGAGCCAAGCTAACTCTGCAATCACCCGCCGTATGGAGCGATATTCTGCCTTAACAAAAGATAAGGCCATTGTGTGCTCCTTCTTAGATTTCCAAGTGAGAAGAGAACCACCAAAGAGGACCAAGTACCCACTAACAGACCTTTGAGAAGTAGGGCAAGAAGCCCAATCAGAATCACAGTAGGCTTGAAGAGTGGAATCAGGATCTGTTGCCATAAAAAGACCTTGCCCCAAAGTGCCCTTAACATAGTGAAGAACATGAAACCCAGCAGAAAGATGAGCAGAAATAGGGGCATGCATGAACTGGCTAAGATATTGGACAAGAAAGGCAAGATCATGTCTGGTATTAGTAAGGAAGTTTACCTTCCCTATCAATTTTCTGTATAATGTTGGATCAGATAGAGGCTCTCCTTCACCAACTCGAAGCTTGAAAGTAACATCCAGAGGACTGCTAACGGGTTACAGTCCAAATAACCAAATTCAGACAGAAGGTCAGTAGCAAACTTTCTCTGACAAATAATCACACCTCCAGGTTCAGCTAGGATCTCCAGTCTCAAAAAATAGTGAAGAAGTCCCAAATCCTTTATCTTGAATTTGGTATCCAAGAACAATTTTAGGGAGGCTATTTCCTTATCATCATTTCCACTCAAAAGAATATCATCAACATACATAGCCACAACAGTAAAAGAAGCACCAACAGACTTTAAAAACAAGGAGTAGTCATTTTTGGAAATCTCATAACCCATAGACATAAGAGAATCACTTAATTTTGATACCACTGCCTAGAAGCTTGTTTCAAACCGTATAAGGATTTATTTAACTTGCAGACAATGTTGGGACCAGGGGCAACCATGCCTTGATGTATTCTCATATATACCTCTTCGTCTAAATCCCCATGCAAAAAGCATTATTAACATCAAGTTGGTACATTTTCCACCCTTTCTTTATAGCTACAACAATTACAGTTCTAATAGTTATCATTTTAACAACTGGTGAAAAGGTTTCAGTGTAGTCAATTCCTTCTTGTTGTGTATCCCCCCTCACTACTAATCTAGCCTTGAACCCTTCAATACTCCCATCTGCCCTATGTTTAATCTTATATACCCATTTATTACTGATTGGTTTCTTGTAATGAGGCAGTGGCACAAGGTCCCAAGTGTGATTAGCCTCAAGTGCAACAAACTCATGCAACATAGCTTCTGCCAAGCAGGGTGCACTGCTGCCTGTTGATAAGTTGAAGGTTCATTTACAGTATCTAAGATTTTGACTAAATTCTGATTAATGGAACTCATACTACTGAAACATACTGACCGAGGGATGGTGGAAAGGGAGGTTAAGGTTGGAGAAGGTATAGATTGAACAGAACTACAATGGTAGTCTTTCAGATAGGAAGGAGGTTGATGAATCCTTGTAGGATATCTAGGCATAGAGGGTGGAATAACTGTGTGAACAGGGGAAGAAGATGGAAGAGGTGAAACTGTATTAGCAGGGGAAGAGGAAATGTCATGATTAACAGGAGGAGAAGAAAGAGATGGTGAAGATGAAGAAATATCAAGAGAGCTAGGGAAAAGAATCCCATTATCTGGAGAATGAGGAAAGATGTGAGAACAAGGTGGTGAAATAGGCCATTTAGGAAAAATAGTGCTTTGAGAAGATGATTCGGAATATGGGAAGATGTTCTCATGGAAGAAAACATCTCTAGAAACAATAATTTTCTTATCAGAAAGTTGCGTTAACTTTTAAGCCTTCTTTCCGGGGGGATAACCAAGGAAAAAATACAAGGGGTGGATCTGGGAGAGAACTTTTTTCTGAGAGGCTTAGGAATCACGGCATAGCACAAACATCCAAAACTTCTGAGATGATTATAAGTAGGCTTATGTCCAAAAAGAATTTCAAAAGGGGTTTTACCATCAAACACAGTGCTTGGAAATCTATTTATTAGATATGTAGCAGTAAGGATACAATCCCCCCAAAAATGAAGTGGTAGTTTTGATTGGTATCGTAAAGCCCTTGCCGTTTCAAGTAAATGTTTATGTTTTCTTTCAACAATCCCATTTTGTTGGGGTGTGTAGGGCAAGAAGTTTGGTGCAAGACACCTTTGGACTGAAAAAATTGTGTGGCTTCAAGACTGGTTCCAAGCTCTAAAGCATTGTCAGATCTAATAGCTTTAATTTTGAGATTAAATTGGGTTTCAACCATAGAAAAGAATGATTTGAGAATGGATAAGGCATTTCCCTTATTGTTGAGTAAGTATGTCCAGGTAGTCCTGCTACAGTCATCTACTAGAGTTAGAAAATATTTGTAGCATCTTTGTGTGACAGTGTTATAAGGTCCCCACACATCCACATGAACAAGATCGAAAATATGAGGAGAATGAGATTGACTAGTAGAGAAGGGAATTCCTTGCTGTCTGGCAAGGGGACAAACATGACAGAGAAAAGGTTGTTTATCACAAGAAGGCACATTTAAAGCATCTATCTTTTGCAATTTTGAGAAAGGAAGATGGCCTAGTCTGTGATGCCACAAAACATGAGTTTTCTTCACACTTATTGTATTTACATGAGCAGAAAAAGGAAGAGACACAACAGAAGACATAGGAGATGGATCAAAAAAGCTGGGTTCAAAAAATGAGTCTTCATTGAGATGGAGGAGATAAATCCCTTCAGCCACCTTACCAAGTACCAATGGCTTCTTCAGTGAAGGGCCCCGGAGGAAACAATAATATCGTGAGAAGGATAGAAGCATATCAATATAAAAAATATCGAAAAGAAATTTGTTCACAGAAATCAAGTTATAGCTGAAAGTGGGCACAAGCAGGACTTTGGTCGAAGTGATAGACGAGGTTAAATGAACAGATCCAATAGTAGAAACCTTTACTTTGTATCCATTAGGTAAAGAGAAAAGATGTGGTGTTGGTAAAGTGATTAAGTTTGAAAGCAATGATTTGTTGGAGGTCATGTGGTTAGTCGCACCAGAGTCAAATATCCAGACATCGGAACTTAGCATACTACTTAGACAAGTGCAAGTACCACAACTCATAAAACAGGAAGCAAATATACCTGCAAAAGTAGCATTAGCAGTAGCAGAGGATGCTCTTGTATTTTGAACTCCATCAGTGACTTGCACATTCTGAAGAATGTTCATCAAATGCTTATACTGCTCTGCGGTTATGGTGGTTGAAGTAGCCATGTTATGTGGATTCTCTTCTCCTTTAGGCTCTGGGGTAGTAATGAAATTAGCAGCAACTCTCATATTCTTGTTGTTGAGCTTGAAATTCTGTGGAAATCCATGCAGTTTGAAACATTTATCTATAGTATGTCCATTGTTCTTGCAGTATCTGCAGAATAGCTTTTTGGGATCAAAATTTCTTTTATGAGTTTGATTGTTGAAAGTATACTTCTGATGTTGGTTTGCATTGTTGTAGGCTGGTTTGGGTATGGAACTTGAACCGACAGAGAAAGAGGAAGTCTCAGCAGAGAAAGCAGCAGAGTCAGGCTGAAAATTTGGTGCATTATGAATGTCTCTTTGTTCTTCATCTTGGATGACCAATGAATAAGCTTTGCCCACATTAGGAAGAGGTTGCATCATCAAAATATTTCCTCTGGCATTATTGAAAATCTCATTCAGTCCCATGAGGAATTGCATTAGCTTCTGATTCTCCATCCTTTTCATCATTTTGTGTTTACCCTCGCAATTACAGTTGCAAATACAGTAGGACTCTGCATCCAGTGACTCCATCTCATCCCAAAGTCTTTTCACTTTGTCAAAGTAACCACTTACATCAGATGAACTCTGGGAGGCTGAAACCAAGTCCTTCTGAACTTCATACATCCTAGCACCATTTGACTGCCCGTACCTCTTATTTAGTTCATCCCAAATTCCTTTTGCAGTCTTTGTGAATATCACACTTTGTGCAATTTCAGGATCTAGAGAATTGAGGATCCAACTGATGACCATGTGGTTAACTTGTTCCCACTGATCAAGGAGAGGAGAGGTTGGCGCAGGTTGAGGGAAGCTACCATTTATGAATCCTATTTTCTTCTTTGCGGACAGAGCAATTATAATCCCTCTCCTCCAGGCCCCAAAACATGTACCATTAAATTGCTTAGCACCTAACATAAGTCCTAGATTATCAGAGGAACTGAGATATTCGGATGCGAAGGATGGAAAGTAATTTCATTACTGTGGTCTATGAATTCATTATCACTGCTAGCAGAGTCATTATCCCCCATTGTAAGGTCAATTTATCACACACTTACAAACCTCACAAAAGCAGCACTAATTGAAGAGATGAAAAGGGTAATCTTATGAAACTTTGTCACAAATCCAGTAGCAAAAGGCCAGAAAGACGAAAATTTCAGCAAATCGCCGGATCGAATTCAGCAAAAAATACCAAATCTAGAGCAAACTGTAGCAATCAGTAGAACAAAAAAGGAATTCGCCAAAAAACTGATTATCGGAGACAAATCCTCCAAGCAAAAACTCCGATATGTGATCGACGAAAAGAAAAAAACTCGATCAAAATATTAGGGGTTTTCTTTTTTTCTTTTTTTTGAGCAAAAATTCTTCGTGAAAATTAGCGTATGAACTTCACCACGAAAGTCACTACATGAACTAAGCTACGTGATTTCCATGGCTCTGATACCATGTTCGAATCGATTCAGGATCAAAAATTTGTGCAACAGATGAATGAAGAAGAGATAAGAATGTTCTAGAGAAAAGTGTGGAAATGAACAACTAAGGCTCCAAAGTAGAGCCAATTCTCATTATATACAAAGTCACAAGAGTGTTGGGTTAAAACCCGTACATAAATGGGTTTTCAATTACAATAATTAATCACATGTCTAATATAAAAATGAAACTAGCTAAAGTAAGCCCAAATACAGAAAAGCATATATCTCAATAAGTTTTGTCATCCTTCTTTTTCCCCTTCTTTTGCCTCTAGCATCTAGCACATTAGCTCTACGTGTGCTAACATAAGATATAATTGGCCATGATCTTTAATTACAAAAAGGATAAAAAGTTAATTGAATTAAATATCTGTATCAATCAGCTAAAATCAAAGAATCCAATTTGAAATTACATATGACGAAGAATATTTAAAGTATTTATTAAATAAGCGCATATATAACTTCATTTATTAAAGCAACAGATTGGAGACATATATGTCATTAATCTCGCTCCCCTTCCTTTAATTGAATTAAATTGAAAATGAGTTTCATGTTTTGATAATTTTCTGCATGATCCGATCCATGCTTCATTTAATGGGAATTTGGGTACCTAAATTTGATCGTTGCCCGATGATACTAACTCTGTTTATGTTTATAGTTGTCTTTGCAGCACCTACTATGGTAGAAGCCGTGAAAAAAGCACAACAAGAGAATGCAACTACAATACTGTCTCGGGCATTCCGTATGTGCACACAAAAGAGGGTATCTTTAACCATTTCCTTGTCATTCTTAATTTCTTAATTTTTTATACGTTATTTATGCACATAAAAAAAATGAATTAGTCTCAACCAATATTTTGTAGAAAGCAAAATAAGTTGGCGGATGAGTCCAGTCTTTCAACTAAAATTGTTTGAGGATGGGTCTAGCTAACTCATATTTTTGGAGCTCGTTTGCTTTGCAGTATAAGAAAATATAACTCCTCAAAAAAAGAAAAAAATTATACAACATTTGGTTTCAAGTGTGGAACTCTTCATTATTATCACACTGTATTATTACCATTTATTAGCTTTCGTTTTAAGCTTGTATACTTACATTTTCCTAACTTATACGAGAATTCATGTATGTTTTATACCAGTTAGATCGTAGAATTGGAATATACATGTTAATATATCATGACGAAGCTAGGTCTTCATGTTTGTAACTTGGTATCACAATCTCGATATTATAAGGCATGACTTATTATTATATTATAACAATTTGCTATATTGCTATTACCGTGTGGAAGATATATAAATATCTAATTTGTACACGTAGTTTGTCAATCATCACCTAATATGCATGTATTGTACACTTATTGAGGAAATGTAATGTATTTCAAATGCAACCCTGGTGACCACAAAACACAATTGATTTGATAAGATAATAAACATACCAAATGTAATAGATCAAGCAATATCTCCTTATTCCTTATAGTTTTTCTTTAAATGATGTCCTTGTACAACTCATGTAATAACAGAAAACACAAGCTACATATCAGGTAAAAATATGGACAAGTATTTCGCATTAGTTTTTCCCCGTACTTGTTGTTGGATAAGGATTTGGAAATATTTTACGCCATATAAATTGGTTTGAAATTTCAGTTCTAGTTGGTGATTATGTAACTCGTTTTTAAATTAACCTTGATTAATTAAGTAAATATGTATGATTGTTTCAGGTGAAGGCGGAGACTCTGATCCTTGAAGGGGACCCAAAAGATAAGATATGTCAAGCCGCTGATGAGTTGCACGTTGACCTTCTAGTGATGGGTAGCCGAGGGCTTGGCAAAATCAAAAGGTAATTTTTCATTTTCCAAATAAATTGTGAGACAAACAGCAGTGGAAGCACATAATTGAATAACTTTATTAGATATGGAACACTGAATTTTATACTATCTGAAAGTCCTTGTCCAGTACGAAAAACAAATAAGGAAGAGACAGAAAACGCAGGGTATGTAAAATAACTCTTACTATTATTTACGAGATGATTCTAAAGAAACTTATATTATATAGGAGGATTATATAGTTTGACAAAATAAACGTCAATCAAAATGTTAAAAGTAGTTTTAGATTTTAAGTGAGGTAGACCCTGATACTAATGAAACATTCTTATTTTGTGATGTTTAAGTAGAAGTGTTGTATACTTTTGGAAATGACGAGGTTAGTCAGCTTGTAATAACAGTTTGCGACTTATAAATCTTTGAAGTAAAAACCTTTTTACACTGCTTAAACTTGGCTTGCAGGGCTTTTCTAGGAAGTGTTAGTGACTATTGCGCTCATCATGTGCATTGCCCCATTCTCATTGTGAAGCCACCCAAGGCACCGCACAAGTAGCTAAGGATATATGATTGTATATAATGCATCAAGTCTTTTATTAGTTGAGAATTGTAAGACGTATGTAATGGATATAAAAAAGCTTTATTACTCAATAAAGGGGGACCTGGCAGTATTTCCTTATTTTTTGATAGCTTTCAATCATTGAGACGATTACAAATCGTCTCCACATTTTGCCCCAAGTTCTGCAGTTCTGAAAATTATTGTTTTTAGCTGAAAACTTGATCCTCTTCAATCTTTTTGGCCCCTCTTGCTCACTTCAAGCTTTATACCTAAATCAATCAAATTAAGATGGTTTATGCTGTTGTATTGCACGTAAGGTAGTTTTTGACCATACATTCACGCAATGCAACGCTATACTCTGAATCTTGCGCATTGGCGTGTACGTTGTATGTGTCCAAATTTGAACAACCACGACCATCGACGAGTACGATGAAACGGCGAGTTTCCCATAACCTGATGCCTTGCAGAGGACGATCTTGAGACAAACAAGAGATTGTACGACCCTTGTAATAATATAGGCCCGTTAGGGGATACTAAGAATATTCCTTAGAATCTGTCTTTTACAGCTTAGAGGAGACCGACTCCCTATATATACAGTGAACCATAACTTTGTAAGGGGGAATGAAGAATATTGGCTATAATTCTACTTATGAATGAGAAGTGTACTTGAAAGGATTTTACTGATTCAGATCGATAAAGAAATCTTATTATCCATCTTCTCCTTACCTATCTTCCAATCTAGAGATTATTATACTTAGCTAAGATTTAACCCTTCAATTGTGATTGATTTGTTCAAAAAGGTTTCGATATCTTTTGAGTCAAACAATTTGGCGCCGTCTGTGGGGATTTCTATAGCTGAAATCGTAGTTTTCATCTAGATTCTTGAAAGAAATAATTACTATTCTTTAGCCTCATAAAGGCCAACAATGGCGGGAAAGGGAGAATTAAGCAAGGCTAAAGGCAATAGTGGGTGTCACAAACAACCTCTTGAATTCCTTCAATGAAACCAGTAGAGAAGACAATGAAAATGCAACACCAAGTATTACACCTGAGGGAGAGATCTCACCTCCCCCGCATGAGGATCTTACGATCTTGCGCTAGAGGGAAACATCAACATCTGCAGCAGGAGAAGCGCCACCGGCCGTGAAAAGGCTATTAGAAGAATGGTTGACAAACACCTTGAACAACATGCTCGAGAAATCCGTTCATAGAGATATTGAAGACATATTACTCGAAAAAACCGCAGCTGTTGCCGATGAGCCAGACACTACACGAACATGTAACACCCGTACTTTTGCTGATGCAGGAAACAATGCACTTGCGGTCATCTGAAAGAAAATGGAAGAGATGGAAAATGAGAACAAAACACTCCACAACCAGATGAATGAACATCAAAAAAGGGTTGATAAAATATCAGGCGCTCCGAAGTTGTTACCAAAATGCGATGTAGGCCGATTCGTCGAACATCCATATAGCAAAGGGGCATCTCCCCATTCTATTCCAAAGAACTTCAAAATGCCGCCATATTTAAAAATATATGATGGCACGACGGACCCGGAGGATCACTTTTATGTTACTGCAGTAAAAGGTAACGATTTATCAAAGGGCCAGGTGCCGTCTGTACTGCTGAAAAAGTTCGGCGAAACTCTGACAGGGGGAGAATTGACATGGTATTCCCAACTACCAGCGCAATCGATAGCTACGTTCGAAGAGATGGAAGATAAGTTCGCCACCGCTCACGTGGGGGCGAAAACGGCAGAGGCCAGGGTCAACGATATCTTCGCCGTTAGGCAAACGACGGGCGAGGGACTTTGGGATTTCCTAGCCCGATTCAATAGGGTAAGGATGAGCCTACCGAACGTGTCATAAGGGATGACAGTAGCAGCCTTTCAAAATGGGCTGAATAGAAACAGGTCAAAAGCAACCAAAAAACTACTAAGTAGACTCATGAAGTACCACATAGGAAGAGATCCATAATGCCTGTTGCGCCGAAGTGAGGGCAGACGAGGATGACCTAAACGGTCTACTCCAGCGATTAACATCAGTCCAAACCAAGACAAGGAGAGATCGCCGTAATGATGGTCGAAGGGATCAACTACCATATTTCAACCGAGAAAGGCACCAGCCCTATATCTGAACACCTAATCCACCTCCTCCACGACATGCAGACGCCACGCCTCGACATACCGCACCCCCCCGAAATGAAAGAGGTATGCCTCCACTATTATCTGCTCATAATTTTTGTGTTTCTCCTTCAGAAATAGTGTACGCACTGGAAAAGCTCAGCACGAAGGTGCAGTGGCCGCAAAAGATAAAGTCGGATCCGAGCACCAGGAGGTCGAACGTTCTGTTTGAATTCCACCAGGAAAGAGGACATAAGACCGAAGACTGCATAGGTCTACGACAAGAAGTGGTAAGAATGTTAAACTAGGGAAACCTGAAAGAACTGTTGAGCGACCGAGAAAGGGCCAACTTCGCTCGTGGACGCGATCAACCTCAAGGACCTCTTAAACCACCATCACCAGCTCGTACCATACAAATGAGCATTGGTGGCGGCAACGACACAATAATCAACCATGTGAAATTCACCACCATACATAAACTCAAACGGACAGTTGCCCACAAATGGTATGACGACTTTGAAGACAGTATCATCTTCGATAAGTCGGATACCGACGGTGTATCTTTCCCTCACTATGATGTTTGGTTATAACATTAAGCATCGCAGATACCGATGTAAAAAGAATAATGATGGATGACGGAAGCGGCGCGTGTATTGTTCACCCACAAGTTCTCATGCAGATGAGGCTCGAGGATAAAATAATACCGCGTTGCATAATACTAACGGGTTTTAATAATGCAATGGAATGAACCTCTGGGGAAATAGTGCTTCCCATCCTTGCAGGAGGAGTCACCCTGGAAACGACATTCCATGTCATGAACCAAGAAACAGCCTACAATGCCATCATAGGACGACCATGGATAAACGCCATGCGCGCCGTCCCGTCAAGTTTCTATCAAGTAATCAAATTTCCCACCCCATGGGGGATATTCAGCATCCGAGGCGAGCCATGCACCACCCAAGAATTCTACCGGATAGCCCAAGATTACACACACACCAAACAACTAAAAGGGGAAAGTGCGGAGGCATAGCAATCAGCCATGTCAGGAACCAAACCCGACGCACAAGTAGAAGCCATCAAAGACCCGGGCGTCATAGAAGCTTGCAAAACAACCGTAGAAGATCTTGATCCTATTCAACTGGACAATACCGATAACACAAAAAAGGCTTATGTCGGACATAACCTCTCAGAACCAGGTAAATATCATGAGTTCTTAGCTAACAACGCCAATTTATTTGCCTTTTCCCACTCAGATATGCCAGGAATCCCAAGGGATATCGCCACACACAGGTTGAACGTTGATCTTCTTTACCCGTAGGTACGACAAATGAGGAGAAAGTTCAATGCCACCATCAATGAGGCGATTAGCGAGGAGGTTGATAAATTACTCGCCAATGGTTCCATCAGAGAGTTAAAATACCCCCAATGTGGTCATGGTAAAAAAGAAGAATGAGAAATGGTGGATGTGTGTTGACTTCACCGACCTGAACAAAGCATGCCCGAAAGATTCCTTTCTGTTACCACACATCGATCAGCTCATCGACGCAACAACGGGGCATGAACTACTGAGCTTTTTGGACACCGATTCCGGTTACAACTAAATTCTAATGGCTGAAGAAGATCAAGACAAGACCACTTTCATCAGTCACCGAGGAACGTACTGCTACAAGGTAATGCCATTCGGACTCAAGAATGTGGGGGAGACATATCAAAGGTTAGTCACCAAGATGTTCAAAGAACAAATCGGTAAGACCATGGAGGTTTGCATCGACGACATGCTAGTAAAATCGACAAAGAAAGAGGATCACATTGGCCATCTGAAGGAGGCCTTCGAGATATTAAGGCAATACGGGATGAAGCTGAATCCCAAAAAATGAGCCTTTGACGTAACTTTAGGAAAGTTTTTTGGTTTTCTAGTGTCACAAAAGGGTATCGAGGTCAACCCGGAACAGATTAGAGCCATCGAAGGAATACTGGATGTATTGACAAGCAAAAAGCAGGTGCAGAAATTAATAGGATGAATAGCCGCCTTGTCGAGGTTCATTTCACGATCATCGGATAGATGCCATAAATTCTTCAATGTGCTAAGGAAAGACCACGAACTGCAATAGAATGCAGAATGCGTCGACGCCCTGAGAAAACTGAAAGCGTATCTATCTTCGCCACCCCTACTCGTCAAGGCATACCCAGGTGAATGTCTACTTGTGTATCTAGCGGTCTCTGAAGTTGCGGTAAGCGCAGTCTTGGTCCGCAAAAATGAAGGTATGCAATCTCCGATTTACTATATCAGCAAAACCTCAATCGATGCTGAAATAAGGTACCCTCACCTTGAAAAACTAGCTTTGGCATTAGTCGTAGCTTCACGAAAGCTTAGACCATATTTTCAATGTCACCCCATAAAAGTGGTGACAACCTCCCCCCTAAGGGGTATCCTACACAAGCCTGAGTTATCGGGTAGATTGGCCAAATGGGCCATAGAACTAAGCGAACACGATATAATATACCAACCGCGAACTGCTATTAAGTCACAGGTGTTGACTGATTTCGTCGTTGATTTCAGCACAAAAATATTGCCTGAAGTAGAGCCGGAAGCGCTCTGTGCTTCCGCACACACCGACCTCTGGGTCCTCTACACCGACGGTGCTTCTAATGCCTCGGGATCGGGATTGAGACTCGTCCTCAAAGTTCCTACGGGAGAAGTAATTTTCCAGTCCATACGATGCCCTGAGATGACTAACAACGAGGCCGAGTATGAAGTTGTGATTGCAAGATTTGAATTAGCCCTCAAATACGGTGCCCGATGACTCGTCCTCCATTGCGACTCTCAACTCGTGGTGAACCAAGTCACTGGGACTTTCCAAATCAAAGAACAGAGAATACAAAAATACCAGTCGAAAATTCACAAATTGCTGCCAGAATTCGATGAATGCCGTCTCGACCAAATACCTAGGGCGTAGAATATCGATGCAGACGACCTCGCCAAGCTAGCGACAGCCACCAAAA